ATATATATATGTGTGACCTTGAGAGGTCTGGGGAAGGGATGCTGTGGATTGTCTGATCCTCCTAGGTCTGAGGAAAGTGACCATGTGCTTGGACTGAGGCCTTGGACTTAAGCCTAGTGATTGAAGCCTGGGGATGGAGAAAACATGGAGGAACTTCAGCATGAAAAGGCAGCATGAGAAGCCTTCTCCTTTACGGAAGTTTGGTGATTTTCCCCCATTGAAATGGTAACTGCATCATCTTTTATCTTACAGCCAAGAGCTAACATCACGGACTGCCAGGTTCTCCATTTTTGGAGTCTGCAAAATCATGGATATCCTGTGCCCTAACCCTTTCTCCCAAAGTTGTTCAATAAAGTTTCTGCAAGTAAAAGATCATCGGCGTGGGCCTCAGATTTATCGATCGCCACTGCGGGAGCAGTAAGTGCTTTGGGGCCGCAATGGAACTGTGTACCCTAGGCAGGCCAGGAGGGCCTGATTCTAGCAGTGGCTCCTTAAGGGATGAGCGCTACATACGCTTTCAGAATTTCAATATCAAGTTTTACAAAAATAAACAAACACTATATTTTCATATAACTGCAGTCGGATATACTGACTGTGCTGTTTGGCAAGATTGTGTAATCATAAAACTAAAAAAGGTTCTATGTGTACATTTAACTGTTTGCCTGGAGTTCAGCTTTAGGTTCATCTAGGAAATTAACTACAGTGAGATAAATAATTAAACCCCATGATAATGTGTCATAAAATAACATTTTCTTTTAAAAATTCAGAACTCATATGAAACTGTGTACTCACATGTGGAGATTTTACACAGACATACTAACCAATACTGTAAATAAACAGTCCTTTTATAGGATCTTCTAATAGAGTTCCAGTGTGTAACAGCTCAACACGACTCGGCTGCATGGTAATGGAAGCTGCAATATTTAATGAGCTGTTCATATAGGAACTCTGTAGCATGGTATAGTACATATAAATAGTTAACAGACAAAGCAACGGTGTTGACCATGTCACAACTGACTAATGCTCCCCTTCCCTAAAGTCACACTAAACTCAAGAGTTAAATCTTAAAAATGCATTCAAGTATCTTAACTATTAACAAAAAATGTATCTTATTTGTGTATCACTCACCTGTAGATCCTCAAATCATCTCTGAATTCATACTGACATGGTCCTTCCTTCTGGAGGGTGGCTACTTTGTCCCCCATGGTCCCTGTGTGTGTTGTAAATTAGCCACCGCTCCAAGCTCACTCAATACAATCTCAAAACAAAGTAAAAAACTAAACATGAGATTGTAGTCCATAACGGGAGTGAGCTTGGAGCAGCGGCTACTTTACAACACACACAGGGAGCATGGGGAACAAAAGTAGCCACCCTCCAGAAGAAAGAACAGTGTCAGCATGAATTCAGAGATGATTTGAGGATCTACAGCCGAGTGATACACAAATAAGATACATTTATGAGAAGAAGAAGAAGAAGATTCTAGTCATGAGTGAAAACACTAGTGTAACAGCTTATGTTATCCAAGGAACTATACAACTGTGCTAAAAATGTAGGCGTAGTTTCCATTGGTGATTGTGTCATCCTCACCACATTGGTGCATTTATATGCAATTTATGAGAAGCAGATAGATACAGGGGCGGAACTACTGGTGGTGCAGCCGCCACCCAGGGCACTAGGCTGGGAGGCACTGACAGAGGTGGAGGTGAAGGAGGCCGGGGCAAAGCAGCGCCAGTCCGGCAGCCCAAGTAGTGCCAGTCTGGCGGGGGAGGCCAGGCCCAGCAGCGCCGTTCTGACGGTGGAGGAGGCTGGACCCCAGTAGTGCCAGTCTGGTGGTGCAGGAAGCCCAGCAGCAGGTAAGAGGAGCTGTGTGTGGGAAAAATACCTCGACCAGCCCACCTGAGACCCTGCAGAGCCCACCATAGAGAGTCTCCGTTGGCTGTGCAGGATCTATGGTGGGCTGGTCGGGGTCTTGGGGGGGGCTCTGCAGGATCTCCGGTGGGCTCTGCAGGGTCTCAGGTGGGTCCTGAGTCCAGTGCGTTACTAAGTCCAGAGTCCAGTGCTTTGCTAAGTCCAGAGTCTAGTGCACTCCTAAGTCCTGAGTTCAGTGCGTTACTAAGTCCTCAGTCCAGTGCTCCTAAGTCCTGAGTTGCTAGGTCCAGAGTCCAATCCATATACTGTCCTGCATTGCTGTAAAATCTATTGCTAGGATTTGTAGTCCCCCTACAGTCGGTGCCATTCTGCATTAGAGTGTAAGCTCCTCTGTACAAAAACTAATGTGGCTGGCTCAGTGTGCTCTGCACAGCACTGTAGTATATGTCAGAGCAATATAAATGTATAAAAATAGTGTGAGACTGTGGGGGGCACAATAGATTGTAAGCTCCTTTGGTTCAGAGAACGCCAGAGGGGTTTGGGGGCCAGTGAGATCTGCTCCCTTGGGAGGGGGGGCCCAGGATAAAATCTTGCACCAGGGCTCTTTATTCCTTAGGTCCGCCACTAGATAGATAGATAGATAGATAGATAGATAGATAGATAGATAGATAGATAGATAGATAGATAGATAGATAGATAGATAGATAGATAGATGGAAAGATCAACAGACGGATCTTGCATCACAACCAAATAGTTCATAAATTCTAATCTGTCCATCCACCGTCAATATTACTGACAATTTTGCCACTCATGTTTATCCCCAGCTTGCAGTAACCCTGTCCTGACCCACCCTAGAAAAAAAGCATATTTTTTGCATTTTCACCATTAGAGCCAGCTGCTTTTACATGTGCTGATACCCTGTTCTTTGAAATTCATATATCATGTAATCATAAGGTTTCATGTTACTGTAGCCATGAATAAAACAAAGTGAGGACTGCATAGCAGGGCTTTAGTTAAATGTTTAGTTTTCTTAAAGTACAATTCATGATAGAGGCAAAATCATTCATAACACAATAAACTCTTGTACTGGGGAAAATAAACACTTGGACAAGGTTTTGTTATGTTACCATCATTTCCATACAATGTTTTTTATTTTCTTTCATGCAAAAAGATAAACATTTTAAAGAGAAGTCATCATGTATGATTGTATAAATAAAAGGTATATGCTATACTATAAAAAGGAGATAATTGCTGGTTCAGTCACAGTAATAGTCAAGAAAGTGATTGACATAATAAAAATAAAAGCTGAACGAGCAGACTCCTCAGCAGGCTGAGCCTCTCTGCGATGCAGCAAGGGTCCACTTCAGGGTTGATAGACCACCAGCATCATTCAACCCACTTCTTGTAACTAAAGAGCCTCATAGGCCCCCCTCCTCGGCTGTGTTACCATAGCCCCCTGCACTAACAGTACAATGAACATTATTAATATTACCACGTCAGCAACGTTCTCTGCTTTCATGAGGACCACTTAGTACAGAAGAAGACATTAAGAGGATCCCGCATGTCACATGACTGGTCAGAAGACATTTTAAAATAATGATGTTCAATAAAAATCAACAAATTATTGCCGGGTGGAGGGTGGTGGGTGAACCCGACCAGCGGAGGGGGAGGGCAAAGTTATTAAAACTGGCCATACACATAGGTTTTTTCATTCAACCTGCTTGCTGAACAAAAAAATATAACAAATTCCTCCATCCACATTAACAGCTTGGATGGACGAATCTATTGCTGGACTATTGTATTGTGACAATGGCAGGCTTGCTCGGCCAAACATTTTGCATCCGGCTCTTATAATTTTCTGATCAAGGATGCCAGACATAAGGGTGCCAATAGGGCCACCCACTGAACAAATTTCATCAAGAACCAGTCAAAATTCCTACAGCTTTAATATTAACTTTGGATTAATTTTTCCAGTTCACTTATAGTACCACTGTGTGAATCTAGTATTCTAGCAGAGTGAATAATAGAGTCCACATCGTCAAATCACTCCAATCCATTGTTTTCTCAACTTAACCAACTAGCCTCTAGGCTTTGGATATACAGTGCAGGTTTTCCACAGACAATAGGATGCATGCTTACCTGGGTGACCCTGAGATTTGGCGTCATTTCCATGAGCCTGCATAGAGAAAAGAGATCTGGATTAGAAATAACAGAATGTGGACCTCAGAAGGATTTAGAATGTTATTAATGCATACGGTTATATGTGAAAGACAAGACCAAATGACGCAATTTACTGTCTTTAAATGTATTAAGAAATATATACTTTTGGCTAAACCTATTGGTATCCCTTTACTTTTTATCAGACCTAGGGAATCTTAACGTGAACCTGTTATCAAGAAATTGAGAAATTGGCAATGAATTGCATAGTCTTAAGAAGCAGTAAATGATTTTTAAAACAAGCCTTACTGACTTCTGTAGTTGCAGGCACTGTGGAGCAAATCATACAGTTTTCAGCCAAAGTAATTTAAGTCCCCAATTCAGCTCACACTGGCATCAGAGATTAGAAGCTGCTATGAAGGGGTACAGGAGGAGCTGCTGAGAGAATTACATTAGTTCTTCCACAGTGTCCGCATCTACAGAGGTCAGTGAGAATTATTTTATGCTCATGTACTGCTTGTTAATAATACATAAATATTTAATTGTCCACAGTTACACTCTAAGCCCAATTTTACTGTAAAGTCGGTGTGCAATGTCACTTAAATTTACCAAAGACATTACACATGCATTTACTTAAAGGAGAACTATGGGGTTAGGGCTTTTCCCCATAGTTCTCCTAAGGGTAACGGGAGGACACAAACTAGCGTCCTCCCGTTACCCAAAACTCAGTATACCGCGAGCTGCAGCTCGCGTTATACTGAGACGCCGCAGCTGAAACGGATCCCAACAATTATGTCTGGATCCGCCCAGCTGCATGAGTGACAGCTGGCTCTGCCTATCTAGAGGCAGAGCCAGATGTACCCGCCACCTCCACCATTTGTTCCGCCAGACAGCGCTGGAGGATCGGACAGGGGAGTGGAGAATCCAGTCTTTCCCCTGTCACGGCTCTCTGGAGTGACAGGATCGAGAAGTGAGCGAGCGCCGGTATGTGTTCGCTCACTTCCCGATATACTGAGCCGACCTGTGACACTTTCATTGTCACAGGTCGGCTCAGATTATGAGGCTGAGTGAAAAGCACTCACCTCATAATTCTCCTTTAAAGTATGACCTGAACTCAAAATGTAGGTGTATTTTCCATTGATGATTGTTTCACCCTCACTACTTTCACAATGGTGCGTTTATATGCAATTTAAGAGAAGCAGATAGATAAATTGACATGCAAGTAGGGAAGATGGCCAAAGGAAGCTGGAGAAGGAGAAAGCACAGCCAGCAGCTCCTCTCAGCTCTCACAACATCCCTGGCACTGGCTTGCTGACAGAAGTAATCACACTGCTTGCAGCATTCCTGTCAACCCAGCAGTAGCTGAGCCGGGGGGAACTCGGAGGTGACTAGCCCTTTGCCCCATGTCTTTTTTGGCTACAGATTTCAGAGTTCAGTTCCTCATTGAAAAATTATGATACAGATACCATTAATTTTAACATGTGTTTTAAGCTGATCGCTAGTGTAATACTCTGATTGCACATTCGACTGAGGATAGGGTGAATGGGACAAAAATAAAAACAACATACAATGAAAAGGTAAGAACTGTCTGAAATAAGAAACTGTAAGGTGTATGTGCAGCACTATGCTTGGCAATGACATTACTTTCTGAGTCACTCTCCCAAGGACCTTCCTCTGATTTCACTAGCTGCATTCTTGCCACAGGTTATTGACTTAGGAAAGGCAGCCAGGGTAACAGTATTTTCAGAAAGGAATTAGTAATCACATCCTCTATATTTCTCTCAGTATAAGTTTCCTTTAAAGGTTTCATTGGAAAAACATTCAGGACTTTGCTTGTACAACTGGAATACATCAGAGCCCCGCGACCACTTGTAAACTTCCTCTGGCTCCTTCACTGACAATTAATCACTAAAACGCGCAGTTTCGCTGTTTTACTGTGAAGTGTCTGTAGGGAGCCAGGTTTCCACATCCTTGAACAATCTACAGACAAAAAAAGCCAAAAATCTGCCGACTGGATCCGCTCCCATAAGTCTTGTAGAGAACAGTTACAAACAAACAATGTTTTCTGAACATTCATATTGGACACAAGGAAGTTAATTTTACAGAGACTGTGATGGATTTGGTCTTTACACAGCTAACATAATTGGAACTTGAAGGATAAAGGTAATGTAAATAAGTACTGTCTAATGCAGAAAAAGTCTACACTCATTTGATGGCTGGGGAGTAAGTGGATACAAAAAATAAAAGGGGATACTTTTATTCTAAAGTATCCTAAAACAGTACAATGGGAAATCATACCTGCACAATACGTGACTGTTTGTGGTTATTGATTTTTTAAAGTGCCCTGTAGCCAAAAAGGATTATAAACAAATCTTTCCTATGCTGGGTATCTTTAAAAAAATACGGTAACCCAAAGGGAAAATAGTTTTGTTGTAAAGAAAATCAATTTAATTGATCTATTTTGTAGTTCTGGCGTCACAGCAGAAAGGAAGTATAAAAGTCACAAGGTGCCATTTTTACCTACTTACCTTTCTGGTTTTTGTTCAGTAAAGTATTACAATATAATATTTTATATTGCACCAAGAATGAGAGGATAACATGATTTTTGAAGGTTTAAAAGCATTTTTGTCCTAATAGTAGCAGGGAGGGTTTTCATAAAAAGGCTGGTAACTTAAAAACTAGATGTGCCTTAAATCATTATAGAGATTATGTCACCTTGACCATGCAAGGGCAAACTCAGTATCACCTCTGTACACCTTCCAACTGTCCCTCATTAGAGGGACAGTCATTAGAGGGACAGTCCATCATTTGGAAGCCTCTATGTTCCTCTTTCCACCTCAGTTGTCCCTCTTTTTGGTCTGATATACAGATATCTATGAAAAGGTTCTACTTAGCTACTAAAAGTGTTATCCTGCACTGAAATCTTAACCTTATCTCTACTATACATTATCTTGTTTGTTATTACGAAAAGCCAGTATAAAGGAAATGTACTGGTGAGAAAAGGCCATTCTGATTTACCCAATTATTTTTGGCATATAAATCCTTAAAGAAGAGCTCCGGTCAGAAGAAAACTTAAAGGAGATTTATGGGATGAGTGAAATACACTCATCCCCATAGTTAGAGGCGACATGTGACACTGATGCTGTCGCAAGTCGGCTCTATTGATCGAGAAAGCTCACAATCTTCTTCCTGCAGAGACGAAGCTTTGTACACTTCACTTAACCAATCATGATCTAAGATAAATACTTTTTTGTTCAATTCCTTTGCAGATGATTCTGTATGGAAGGTAAACACGGCTTATTTACTAAGGTCTAAATGAGAAAGATTTTGCTGGACTTGGATTGCACTAAGGCTGTGATTGCTCTGACCACTGATCCTACACTAATATAGTTAATATTAGACTTTGCCATGAAGGTTTTATTCCATATTTTCTTTATATACATTCTTTATTTAAAGTGTTTGATACATAACACAAAAAGGAGTATCCAACAACAACAAATTCAAATATAAATAATCTGCTACCTATTACAATTTTCTTTGTTTATCGCATTACATTAACCAATTCTTATTCCATAATATGTTATATATTTACTTTATTTCTTGTTTTATGATATCCAATCTGACTCTTCTACATGAGCTATCTAGAATACTCTTTGTGGATTGCTCAGAAACAGTTAGAAACTAGAGACATTTCAGAAAGGAAAGAAGAAAGTCCTCCCACACCATCTGGATAAAAAAATATTTGAGCCCCAATACTTGGGTTCATCGTAAAAAATAAATTAAGCTTAGCCGGAACTGCAGAAGATCCAGGGGGAGCAGGAAAAGACAAGGAGGGAGATAAAATAAGAAAGGGAAACACAGATGGTTAAAGTGATATTGACCACCTCCCGTCCGCTGAATGTTGAAAGACGGCCGGGCGGGAGTCTTCTGGATGCGGGTGGGCGTCTTTAGACGTTCTTCAGGCCCGTGCTCTCTAGCGCGCGCCCCCTCGCGTGCATGAGTGAGAAATCGTCGGAATTTAAAACGGCCAGCGATGAGCGTTTACATACAAGCGGTCCGGCGTCTGTAAAGACGCACGATCGCTTGTATGCTGCATGTCAGGGTGCGGTCCCCCCCACACTTACCTCTCCTATATGTCCCTGCGCCGTCCCTGCGATCCCGGGCGTCCATCCGGGACCGGCAGTGTGGCTCCGTGCATAGAGAACGGAGGGAGGTCATTAAACGACCTCCCTCCGATCTCCTTCCCGATGTCTGAATGCAGGAAGTGATGTTTACTACATCACTTCCGCATTCCTCTGTCACTCTCCGGTACAGAAACCAGAGAGAAGCTGCTGAAGCAGATCTGTGCTTCATCAGCTTCTCTGGGGATCCCTAGGTGACATTAGGTTCTTAGAGACCCCTGATGTCTCCATAAAGGGGACCTGTCACTGTAATTTAATATCACTTAGGGGGATACTTATCCCTTTATGTGATAACAATAAAGTTAAGTGTAAAAAAAAAAAAAGTAAAAAAATGACTCACAAAATAAATATAAATTACACACACAAAAAAACAAAAACCCCACAAACATTTTTTTCAAGTCCCCCACCCCCACATAGATTCATGCTTTAGGTGTGCCTAAACGCAAAAACAATGATTGCACCAATTACACCGCACATGTTACATATCGCCGCCAATGTCGCAGTGAGTACAGTATACTGTGAGTGAGTACTGTGAGTACAGTCGCATTGTGTACAGTATATTTGTATGTTCTGGATTTATTACTGAAAATACATATAAGCGTTTAATACTACTGTAAACATGTTTGATATGTGTGTTCATTGTAAGGGTAACCTGCACTAAGAGAAAGGCTGTGTGAATCCCCACTAGGTAGCTTACCCTTCTCTATTTTTTCTGGAGACCACTATCGCTGAGACAGAGATGAAAAATCTTCATGTTGTCACCAGAACAAGAGGTGAGGGAAAATCCAAATCCAAAGGGGACATTTGTTTCAGTGACAGCTGGCGATAAGTGGAATTC